TGTGATGCATGTCGAGCCCAAGAACCTCCGTTGCGGTCGCGGCATTGACGAGCTCCAGCTTGCGGCAGCTGCGGCGAAGGTGTAGGCCATGCTCGCGAGCGGGGTCCACCATGAGCATGCCTTTTCCTAGCACGTACAGGTCTTGGCGAAGGCGGAAGAAACCTCGGAACTGCACCGGTGCGTAGAGCAGGTGCTTTTTGTCCGAAGAGATGTCCAGTAGGTTGAGGCGCACAGCGTCTCGCCAGCCGATGTCCGACGCTCCGTCCGTAGTTGCGTCCTCGCCGTTGTAGACATCTTCCACCAGAGTGGTTGCAAGGTCGCGCGGAAATGCCTGATGTCTGCTAGGTGACAGCAGCAGAGGCAGCCGACTGTATGCTTCCTGCACGCTCGCTGACGCCTGCAACACCAGCATGGCTGCCAAACTGTTCGCTAAGGGCTTGAAGGCGAAGATAGTGCGCGCAGGCAAGGCCGCTCTGTGGCGGCGACACCCTCAACTTGAACGGTAAGCGGCGCCAGCCAGTCTGGCTTGCGGGTTCGTGTTCCAAAGTCCACGCAGAAGACGTCCACTTGCAGGCTACGGCTCAAGTGCGTTGGCTCCATCTTCTCAGGGACCACGGCCAGCGCATTTGCCGGCACGAAGGTCGTGGGAGGGGTCTTCCGATGTAGCCGCCGGCGCTTTAACAGGGCGACACCGTAGTCGCGCCAGTCGGACCTGCGTCTGCAGCCACTGCCTCGTCGCCAAAGTCGACATCACTGCCTGGGTCCTGACTGTTCACCGCCCAGCACTGCGTCGCATCGTAGACGAGGTAGACCCCCAGGCGCTCAATCACCTCTGCCCGCTTCTGCAGCGAAAGTCGGAGCGAAGCAAGCGACTATAGCTTCGAAGCCTACGTCCTGTTCAGAGACTCCATAACCCTTTAACCTCAAGGCTCCTGTATAGTTTAAGCAATACTAGAAGACCTGGCTTGTCATTCCCTGCAGTTATGTCACTCCGTGCTGGCTGTCACTTGATAGATTTGATCTCACTATTCATGTTTTGCTGTTGCAGTCTAGTCTGCCGTGGCACTGGCCGAAGAGCCGCACGTCCCTTGCTGCGGCCGCCGGCACTCCTGCAGGCCTTCCGTTCAGAACCGCGGTCAGCGAGCTTGGGTACAGCCCCTGGCAGGTCCTGCTCCAGCTGGTTTCGTCGAAAGCCTGCTGCGTCCGTAAGAAGGTGCGCTTGCAGCGCCCTCGGCACTCTGGAGTCCCTGCCAGAAGCTGTCCAGAAGCACGAGCTCGTGCTCTGCCCAGGAGTTCTGCTTCCGCGGCATGAGAAGGCCGTCTACACTTGCCACTACGCACGTCTGCTCGGAGTCTGCTGCGGAAGACTGTCGTGGCTCGTACCGCTTGCGCAAGTCCCACGTACAACTGCCGGGGAAGAAACCGATACGATACGTCTGCAACTGCATACTTTAGGCTGCAAATGCACCGACTACGCGTGCTTGCCACTTTCATGCACAAAGACTTATGGACAAATATGTCTGACTGATTCCTCGAGGCTTTGAAGGCAAAGGCTTAATAAAGCTTCGATACCGGGCATTAATTACAGGGTGTGTCGCAGTGGCGGGGACTTGGCGGACGACTCGAGTCTGGAGGAGGAGACGGCGCGATCCTGGCGAGGACGCCGGACGACTCTGGACGGCGGCCCTGGCGCGGACGGCGGACGACTCTGGCGGGGACTTGGCGGACGACTCTGGCGCGGACGGCGGGCGACCCCGGCGCTGGGACTGGCGGACGACTCTGGCTGGGACGGCGTGACGACTCTGGCGGGGAGACGGCGAACAAGACCCTGGCTGGGACGGCGGGGGATCCTGGCGGGGACGGCGGACGACTGTGGTTTGACGAGGACGGGACATCCTAGAAAGAGCTTGGCGGGCACTCTGTGCACAAATACCGGGCGAAAGACCTTGGCCGACTGGACGATCGGCACTCTTGGCCGGACTCTGGCACGGACAGCGGACGACTTTGGCATGGACGGCGGATGACGGCGGACGACTCTGAGAGGGCGACAAAGACCGGACGAGCCTAGCGGGGCTTGTTGAACGACTCTATAGTGGGGACTCCATGCGGGGGACGAATCTGCTGGGACTCCAAAAGAGCTTCGGACGACTTTGGCGGGGACGTCAGGACGACCTTGGCGGGGACGGTGACGGGACTTGGCGGAGGACTCTGGTGGGCATTCGCAAAAGAGCTTGGTCTGGCGCGGACGACTCGACGGACGACTCTGGCGGTGGCCGGCGAGGACGTCGCTGCTACTGTGACACATCACTCTGATGTCGCTGTGACCACTGTTCGGCTGGTGCAGCACGGCGAAGGGGAAGAAACAGAACACAAAACCCGTTCTAGTCCTGCTTCGGGCGGTTGTGGGTGGGGTCCACGTTACGAAGACGGCGCGACCCACGACCACTTCATGGGTGGGGCGCTCCGTGGCACTGTGACACACCCTAAACCCTAAACCCTAAACCCTAAACCCTAAACCCTAAACCCTAAACCCTAAACCCTAAACCCTAAACCAAAACCCAAAGCCC